GTCACAAGTGGTAGAGGGAGCATGGAGCCGGCTTCCCGGCCAATCAGAAAGCTGGGCAGTGTGTAATGACTCGCTGCCCGGCTTCCTGATGCCGCAAGTATCAGGCTAGGCATTGGAGCATTTGGGCGAGTATGAGTACTCGCCCAAATAATCGGCATTGGCACCGATACTAGTACTACTACTACTACTACTACTACTACTACTACTACTACTACTAGTAGTAGTATCGGTGCATCCCTAGTTTATAGCCGACTTAAAACTCCATAACAACCATACTGGCAACCATAAAAGCTTGGCAGAGGTTTTGTCCTTTTCACACTTTATTTAAACCAAAAGGTTTTGGGTTCAGATACATTAGCCACTATTAATTCCTGAAGTGACTCAAGCAAATATTCTTTGTTGTATTTGTGTATTCATTAACACCAACAGACACATAAACTGGTTGTTGGACACAGTGCTAAGCTTAGCTATAGAGCAGTGAAATATGAAAACCGTACATGCACCTGCAAGGATTAGCATTTCTATTATCAGTTCTATAAATCTTGGCGTTGCTGACAGTTTTTCCTCCTTTTAGACTTCTAGCGGGGAAGGTTGGTCTGTCTGCAGACATGCCGTATCTGGACCCATGCCTTCCATTGGACATCCCAGATAAAATACAGCAGGGGGGACAGACTATGTTTGTACGTGGAACAGGTGACTTTCACCTCTGCCGTCGGATTATCCAGCCGCTCATGAACTTATCCAATGAAACGCAGACTACTTTAAGAGGCGTCTATCAGCCACCTCTGTCCTACCACAACAGTGAGTTCTATGGCTTCTCGGAGTTCTACTACTGCACTGAAGATGTGTTGCGTATGGGTGGGGACTACAACTCGGCGCGCTTCCTGAGAGCAGCACAGGTAAACTCATGTCACCTGCCATTAAGAATGCCATAAGGGTTAATATTTCCTATTTCTAACAGTTCCTCTGTTTGCTCTTACAGGATTATTGTGCCACTAAGTGGACGGTTTTAAAAGAGAGATTTGACCGTGGTCTGTATGCTTCACATGCTGACATGCACAGACTTAAGTGAGTATGGAAAGTCACGTAGTAGAAAACATTAGCAGCGCTCATCATGTTACTCCATGTGTGTATTACCACTCCAGCTCTTTATATCTTATATGGACCAGAGTTCTATTTCTACTGTGGGCCTGTTTATTTGGCACTAACTTAAAGAGGAACTTCACCAACTAATTTAATGTCTGTCAGTTACTTTTATAGAAGAAGTCCAAGAAATGTTTTTAATAACCCGTAAAGTGGTGCTACCCCCCGCGCTGCAAGGGTTAAGTGATCATTTGTGTCTAGGTTAAAAAAAAAAGTTATACTCCCCCCAAAGCTCCAAGTTGTTGTTGTTGTTGTTGTTGTTATTATTATAAAGGATTTATACAGCGCCAACAGTTTGCGCAGCGCTTTACAAAACCTGAGGGAGACAACACCATTACCAATACGATTTCAGTACAGGAGGGCCCTGCTCGTGAGCGCTTACAATCTAGTAGAGTTGGCTTCTTAGACTGGTCCTTCTAGTGTCTCTCCCCCTTTTCAGCAGTGTCTAAGGTTTTGTAAATCATTGACATCTATGTATATCTTCACCTCACACACATTAGGTTTGATTTGTTTCCATATTTTGTATCTAATCGTATTTTTCGCTCCATAGGACACACTTTCCCCCCCCCCCAAAAGGCGGGCAAAAATGTCTGTGCGTCTTATGGAGCCAATGTGTGAGAGCTGAGGGAATCCTTATCGCCTGATGCCCGGGACATGCAGTTTCGGGCGCCAAATGAGTAGTTTTTTTGTACATTTAGCCCTGCTCCGGACAAGCAGAACTAAATGTATAGCGTGGAGCCGCCGCTCGTTTTCACTGATTAGATCACTCTGGGGGACCCGTGACCACGGCATAGGAGCTCACCATAGAGCAGACGAAGAACATCCCTCAATTCCATCTGTTCTTCGTCTGCTCTGTGTGATCACTAAGACCGTGGCGCTGTAATCACAGCACCACCTGTCTCAGCTGTCAGGAACTACACGTGTCTTATGGTCGGGTGCGTGTTATGGAACGCAAAATACCATACATCTCTGTCCGTGCAGTGCAACTACTATAAGGCTGGCCATACACTAGTAGTTTTTCCTACCTTTTAGACTGCGTAACCAACAGCGTTCTCAACAACCAGTGATGCTGACAGTGAGTGGAGCCTGGTGCTGATGCCAAGGGACTAGCTTCTCATCAGGTCTGCTCTGCTACTGTTTACAGCAGGCAGTGGGTGAATTCCATAACCAATGGCAGGCTGGTTATTGGCTATGGAATCTGGCCTCAGCCTACGTTCAATGACAAGGGTGGTACTGCTGATGGGGAACTAGTCTCTTAGAGTCCCCCATCAGGCTCCACCCACTGTCATTGGTTGCTAAGAGATTACTGGCAATGCAGGTGACAATGTATTAGCAACCACTGACCCATCCCTGGCCCCATTCAGCTGCTGGCCGGGAGATTCCCAGCCAACAGCTGAATGTAAACAAAGGGGTGGGGGATGCTTGCTGACATCACCCAAATTTGTCCATGGTCAGGGATGCGTCATTGGTTGCTAGGAAATACAATATCCTGCTTTTTTTATTAAACACAGTCCTCACTGTACATGGTCTGTCTGACACCCACTGAAATGTTTGGTCATCAGGAGTGTGATGTGGGATTTCTGTTTGTTGACTTCAAGGTGTGATTTGTACAAGTTTAATGCTGAAACCTCTTCCTGTCTTGTATACAGGTACCAGTGCTTCAAGTCAGCCTGGATGTACGAGGTCTTCCACGACGGTTTCTCATTTCCTTCTAATTACAGCAATCTGAAGACTGTGCTCCAAGTGTATGACAAGGAGGTGCAGTGGACGCTGGGAGCCATCTTGTATAGAACACGGTTTTTACCACTGAGGTATAAAATACAAACACACAAATGTAGAAGTAAAGCTGATTACTACTTCCAGAACAGGAACACAAACAAAAGCACGTTCATGGCAGAGTGTGGAAGAGTTAGATTTCTAGGCATGGTTTTATTTACGGTCTGTGCTTTGCAGTCCCGGTGACGGTCTTGCTTCTATTTCTTGTATGGGTGTCATAGAGACAGGAAGTGAGGGAAAAGGAAAATCTCCCCAATAGGGTCACACACAGAAAACATAATGACTAAAACTTTTACTCTTCCGTTAAATCCAAAACCCAATCCAGTCCAAAATGTGTTTTATTTCTTTCTCCACTGCGGGACACGGGAAGTCCTAAACCTGTTACACTGCCGCCCACAGGAGGGTTGGATATTGGCATACAAAATAAACTTCATTAGCGCAGGATGACCCCTCCTACTATCAGCATGGCTCTGCTTTTTGCTAGTGTCCTAGGGAATGGATGTCTCTTCTTCAGCTCTGCTGTTGTACAAACAAATCTATTATTTTACTAGCACTTTCCTCTTCAATTATTCTTCAGTCAAGACTCATCTCTACACTGATACTGAGGTTTCTCCTCCAGTCAGCAGCTATCCAACTCATTCGGCCTGGCCTTTTAGACTGTACGCCATCAGGATGTTGCGGGAATTTTTCCTTTTTCTACTCAATGCAAAATGAATTTCTTGTCCATTGAGGAACTGGACTGCTCTGGGTACTGTTTTGCTACAAAACGGGGTCGTGCTGATTATAGGAGAGCTGGCCTACTATACCCTGGCCTGGCCTACAGTTTTTGTGTTTGCCACTGTCCACTCCTTCTGTGGGAGTTTAAAGGAGAACTATGGGGTCAGTGTTTTTCCCCATAGTTCTCCTTAGGGTAACGGGAGGACACAAACTAGCGTCCATGTGTTACTCAATGGACTCCAAGAAAAAAGTTTTCAGTGAGTACAAATATCCTATTTTGATGGAATAAGCTACAAAACACCCACCTGATAGTGAGATATCTGTTGTATATGTCACTCTGCTGTGCTGCCTATTAACCCCTTCGTGACTGACGACGTACAGTGTACGTCGCCAGCATCGGGGCTGTTTAAACAGACTCCCGGCGACTTTTGCCGCCGGGACTCTGTTTAAACTTGTAGAGCCGACTGTCGGCTTTACAACAGAAGCGATC